GACTGTGACACCCATAACAATATAAATAGGAAATGTATCATACATGTTCCATTTGTTAAAAGTTGCTTATAATTTATCCAATCATTTGTCTCTGAATTTTTTTAAACCTATAATAAATTATGCTATTGGAAAATATATTTTGAAATGAATTTTCTCAGGCAGCCTACTGTGTTTTTACAGTCTCATGCATTACCTTACAAGCGTCTTTTCCGCCTTCTTTATAGCCAGCGCAGACCATCTGTTTGGTTATTTTATAATCTTGATATCTTTTCTGACATTCTTCATTTGTCACCAAAGGAATGGTTACCTTTTGTAGAATATTTTGGATTTCACCTGCGAAGTAACCAATATACAACTTCAGAGGGAGGAAGCACAATAAATAGTAGATATGGAAATAAGTTTTAAAGTGAATCAGAGCGCTGCACTTTTCATAAGGGCTATATCTTTTAAAACAATTAGTAAAAATTCGGAAGGTAGTGTTACACACACACACACACACACACACACACACACACACACACAGAGGAAAAGAGAGAGAGAGAGGGCACCCTGTGCTGTTCGCTTACTGCCTATGTGATACCGGGACACGCCCGGAACCCTGGGCTACCAGAGACCCTCCTCCCATGTTTTCGGCTCCCCCCTCGTCTCACTACAGTCCCCCAGAAATCCCATTTTATATTTATCACCTACGACAATCCAAAAGTCTAGAAGTTCTTACTTTTTATTTTTTTGTTTTATATATTCAAAATTATAATTTAAGATTATATCATTTCCGAAAACACCCTGAAGCCTTTGGCAACTGAGGGGTAGTTTGTTTTTGAGTAAATGCACGTGAGCCTTTCCCTTGGAGAACCATTAATTTACAGATCATTTAAATGCTACTCATGTTCAGGTTTCCCTCGGATATATGTTGGGAGCTTTCATTGCTTGGTTAAGATTACTTTTAATTTCTTCTTGTCTCAAATTACCCATAAAAAATCTAAAATGTGAATTACTTGAAAAAGGACTGAATCGGGAAAGATGGAAAGTTTGGCAAGCTACCCTCTTTTGTAAAGAATGACCTTCTTTACAAATAGTACTCTCCATAGTGTCTATTATGAACATAATTTTGGAAAAAGAGACTGGTCTGCTTCCTAAAAAGTTCAAGGGCCATTGGAACACTCCAAACACCCATAAACAGGAATCGTAAACCTAAGGTTTACAGAAGGAATTCACATGGTTTATACATTTGAGTAGAGAAAAAGTATTCAATTGCAGTAACCACCAAAGGAAGCCTGCCTCTCCCTTCAGTTATAATGGAGACAACAAACAGAGCAGTATTAGTGGTACCTATGACTCTGCCACCAACAGACGACAAATCAACAAATTACAGATCGTTTCATATCACATTTCAGTTGTGGCAGATAAGTGAAAATGCCAGTTATGCTCACCACTGTTTCAAAAATACGACTGGTATTAGACTAACTTGCTATGCAGTAGATTCATAAAGAGGCGTATGTATTACTATATCACCTTTAAAAGTATTTTGGTAACTATCTTGCACTTCACTTGGTTTCCTCTGAGATCCTGCATATTTTATTTAAACGTTTAAAACTCTTACTAGGGAAGTGGATCACAGGCTTCCTCCGATGGCAGGAAGGGCGCATGGAAAAAAAAGACGAAGAACTGGCCACAAAGAGAGATGGCACAGCTGCCTGTGCTCCTGGCTGTTAGCGTCAAGGGAGAACGTGGTTTTGGGAGATGGGAACGCTATTAATACTGAGGACCGAATGTGCTTGCCCAGGCTTGTCAGCCCTAGATGGACCAACCCTTCATGCAAAGTCAAGCACATGATCTTTATAATGAAGTAAGATGCTTAAAAGTCTCTCTAAAAAATGTTTTTCAAGCCAAAGCAAAAATACATTTAAAAAAATAACTGAATAAATATTTGGGAATAAATAGGTAGGAAAGATTAAGAGTCTAGACATAATTTGAGACAGAGCTGATTAAAACGACCTACTCCATGTATTTCAACGTGTATGATCTGCTATACCTTTTTCCTTCGAGAAGCCCCATCCGGTTATCCAGCAGTTACTATAAACTGTATTTGTGTCACCTTTGGAAGGCAGGCATACTGGTTTTTGGAATTCTGAAACATAATTTTTAAATTAGAGTTTGGTCATGTAAAGTTATGGATATAGACGTAAAAAAATACATCTTTTTCTTTTTCTGTCTTCTCCTTCTACAGAGTAGCACCAAGAAGAACTCTTTTGCTTTCTGTTTAACTTCTAAGGCTAATGACTCAAGAAAATTTGTCACCACCATTTATCACATGACATTTTTGGTGTTATAACTTCCTGAATTCAATTTTTAAAACCTAAATCTACAGTCAAAAGCATGTAGAAGTTCCTGCATCTTACCCTGTGTATGCTATCCTTAATAGTCACAGCAGAGTGTCTTCACTGCTTCAGGCATTAAGTGCTTTAATGTATTAATTATTATAACAAATCCAGGAAGAAATTATCATCCTCATTTTACAGACGAGGAAATTCGAGGTGTGAAGACGTAAAGCACCTTGCCCAAGTTGTCACATAATTGTCTGTGTGTAGTGGCGCAATCTTGGCTCACTACGATCTTGACCTCCGGACTCAAGTGATCCTCTTGCCTCAGCCTCTTGACTAGCTGGGACTACAGGTGCACATGACCATATCGAGTTAATTGTTTTTTTTCTAATTTTATGTAGAGACGGGTCTCACTGTGTTGCCCAGGCTGGTCTCAAACTCCTGGCCTCAAGCATTCCTCCCACGTGGGCATCCCAAACTGTTGGGATTACAGGTGTGGGCCAGCATGCCCGGCCATTAATGTTATTAGATGCGGTGGGCATTCAGCTCCTGGGAGCAATGAACCTCCAAAGGCAGCACCTCTGATTACGATGCTCTAGCCTTTCCTGGGCTTCTCTCTTTCCTACCCAGGTTACACCTGGAAGTTGATATCTGGTCCCACCTGCCCTCACACATCTCTAATATCCCTAAGCCCAAAGCAGTGGCAGTTATGCTGCTCTTATCAAAGGAAGCCCAGTGTCTCTTCAGGTGGCAAAGACGTTTCCTACACCCATTATTTCAATAACCTGCATGCAGTTGTATTCTTCCCTGAAAGAACGAATTCACATGTCTTGCTCTTTAAGTAGAAGAGATTTCATGGCCAGCCGCAGGGCCTTTGCTTCCTGTGCAACCCTCACCTTTCCCTCCACTCCACCAGTCAGAAAGTAACGACAGTCTCTCTAGATCTGTCCCCTCATTCAAACTGATATGAAAGGGTCAACCAGTACCATTCTGCCATCCACCGTCTTCTTCCATATGCTACATACCAGTGTAATTCAAAGGAGCCTGGAGTTTTATTAAGGCAATATCATGATGCTCTTCTGAGATTTTATAGTTTTGGTGAACAATAATCTCTTTTATTTGTGAAAAAGGTGTTTCTTTTGTAATGTCTGACAGATTTAAAATGCCACTATAAATGCGCCAAACATCCGGTAAGGGCAGCCTAGGAGAGAAGCATAAATACCCATTTGACACTGGGAAGTCCTTCCTGCGACAGCTAGTGCTCGACTTACAACCATGATTGGTTCTGACAGACCGGTCGTAACACGATGTGGTCGTAAGTTGAGTAGGCTATATGCACGCGGAGATGGTAGTGCTCTGGAAGCTGGCCCGCACTGTCGTCCGCCCAGCTGGGCAACGTTTGCGCTGCCAGACGCGGAGCGGTCGTGGCTAGCGACTGTGGTCGTAAAGTCGAATGGTCGTACGTTGCATAGGTCGTAAGTCGATCAATGCCTGTATATTGTTCTCCTATCACTCTCTTTCAAAGAGAACTGGGAAGGAAATACTACATAGGACATATTTTTTCCTACCTAATCACCCCTTCCAGTAATTTGCCATCACCAATAGCAGCAGCAGAGAATCTCTGAAGATTCTATTAAAAAACTGAAAAGTGTACATTTATGTAATTATATCATGCTTCGTGCAAGCGACAACACAAGAACGTTGTTGCCTCATTTTTGAGAGACACTGTAGCGAGAAGAGACCAGCAATTTATCACAGGAAAATTAAGCTTAGCTCAACAAAACTGCACCTAATGGCTTCATTAAAATTCAGAGCTATCCTTGGTGAAACCCCGTCTCCTAAAAAATGCTAAAATTAGCTGGGTGTGGCGGTGCGTGCCTGAAGTCCCAGCTACTCGGGAGGCTGAGGCAGGAGAATTGCTTGAACCTGGGAGGCAGAGTTTGCAGTGAGCTGGGATTGTGCCACCGCACTCCAGTCTGGTGCCTGGTGACAGAGGGAGACTCTGCCACAATCTGCCTCAAAAAAAAAAAAAAGAAAGAAAGAAAAGAAAAAAATTCAGAACTACCAAGAAGTCAGACTGATCTTCTAAAGTTCTTCTAATTGGGTAGAGTAGAAGGACTTTAGTGTTGTTTAAAATATTTCTGTATGGCTGGGTGTGGTGGCTTACACCTGTAATCCCAGCACTTTGGGAGGCAGAGGTGGGTGGATCACTTGAGGTCAGGAGTTCGAAACCAGCCTGACCAACACGGTGGTGAAATCCTGTCTCTACTAAAAATACAAAAATTAGCCAGGTGTGGTAGTGCATATCTATAATCCCAGCTACTCAGGAGGCTGAGGCAGGAGAATCGCTTGAACCTGGGAGGCAAAGGCTGCAGTGAGCCGAGATCGCACCACTGCACTCCAGCCTGGGCGACTAAGTGAAAAATTTAAATAAATTTATTTACTTAAAATAAATAAATAAATAAAATAAATCTATATTTTGGAAAGTATGAAAATTTAAATTGATTGTTTAAAAGATGAATGTATACTAAGTATATCCAAAATTATGACCTAAAGCAAAGCCTCGCTCCGTACAAAGATCTGGAAATCTTTATCATCACCAAGTGATGCAAGACAGGTGGGCACAAAATTTAGAAACAAATAATCGTGATATCAGGTGCAAAGGGGCCTTTTTGTTTTCAGTGAAATCTCTAATAAACTCACAATGCTGAGCCTTCAGGAATGAAAATTATTGGTACCAAATTGTAGTGCACTTAGTAAAAAAGAGCCCTACTATTTCCAATCTTGGGCCTTTTCTTCCAGGTCAACCACCATAAAACCACATGCCAGCTCCTGTACGGCAGGGCCCCTTCCTGCGATGACAAGGTGGCGGGGTCTGGCTCCACCATGTGTACCACTGACTGCTAGATCTGGGTGGCAATATATACAATCCTAGTACATAGCACCTACGCATGAATTTCACTAAAACAAAGATACTTGTGTTGATGTTTTGGCAGCAGTGTGTTCAATCCTAGTACACAGAATCTAAGCCTGAATTTCACTAAAACAAAGATAGTTTGTGTTTATTTTTGAGAAAGATCAAGCGTCTTCTAGTATTTCTTTTGCTTTTTCATATGTTTTGTCCATTTCTACATTTCTTATTGAATATAGTAATCATAGTTTATATTTTTTGAGTAGTGTTCATGTTCTACATACAGTACTAAGCATTTTAAATGTGTCACTTAATCCTTCCAATAACCTTAAATCCTTCCAATAACCATACCAATTAGGTACTCTCATTATCACATTTGAGATAAAATAAACCTCAGAGAGATTTGAAAATCTCGTAGGGTCGCACCTCTAATAAGCAGCAAAGCTGTCACTCAAGCCAAGCTCTGTCTAACTCCAAAGCCTCGGTGTTCTAAGACATAAAAACCCTAACATATCTCTTTGACCAATAAAATAGAAATATATCAAATTATATACATTGAAATATACAGAGTACAAAACTCTCACTTTTAAAAATTATTATTACTTAGTATATTCATGAATCAAAGAGCAAAAAGTAAAATTTCTATGGGCCTGACAAATAAGTCTTTGAAGAACACATCAGGGATTGGTGGTGGGAGATGGGATGAAGCTGGGTATTGACTTTGCTTCTTTTTCTGTGGGAGAATACCCACCCAGGGGCATCAGTCCTATACAGAGACCACATGCTTTCCTGATGGGTCAGATGGTCAGTGCTTGGACCCTACTAATTAAATGGGGTGAATACCATCCCTGCTTTAACACGTCTCTATTTGCAAAGTCACAGGACGATGGGGCAGCTGATCATAGATCCTTGAAAATGAAAAGTCAAGGTAAGACTCCGGCTGAGTTGCATCCAACACTTACCCATCAAAGCAGTGGGCAGCGGTGAGGACCCACTGGTGCCCTATGAGTGATCCTCCACACAGGTGCCTCTGAGCTGCCAGCTTCACCTGCAGGCTCACCTGCCAGGGCCACTCTCCCAAAGAAGAGTTGGTTCCTCCAACAATGCGTGCGTTTGTTCTTGTTGTGCAGACTGAAAAGACAGTGTTGATGATAATGGTTGGAATTAAAAGTGAATCACAGTCCCTTCCAACCCAAAAAGAACAAGACACATAATTCCATAAGACTAAGCAAGCTATCAACATGACAGACATCCTTACAATTCCATGAAAAAGCGACGTTACTCACCAGAGCTCTCCCCAGTTGTACACAATCTCAAAGAGTAACCAGAGCTCCCTTGTGTCCCATACGTAATCCTAGTTGGAGAACCATCCGAAGATAATCTTAAGAAACACTTACACCTAGATGAAATGAACAGTAGAAAGAGTAAGCCTTCACAGAGGGAGAAATAATACGAAGTGATCATCTCAACTGTCTTTGAAAAATAAAATTTCCCTCACTTCTCTTCCTTACAGTCTTCTGGGAGTAAAGAGTAAGTGAAAAACTGACAGCGAATCATCTTTGTACAAGTCTCTTGGCAAACATTCACTCCTTTAACGAAAGTCACATTCAGTTCTTCTCCTCCAAAGTCAACTCCTGGGTAAATTTTAGAATGGCAGGGCTCTGTGGTCAATTATAAACATAAAAACATATCAAGTGAGAAAAGAAATGAACAACATTTACACAAGTTTCTGTTACCTTGAGGATTCTTTCATCATTGTTGCTGTTAAAAGTCATGAAATATGTTACATTTTATGTTATATTATTATCAAATCACATTACCAGGTAGAGTTCTTTTGCAGGTTAAAAGGCTATATCCAGATATGGTGTTTTCTTGAGGAGTAGAGGAACTTGGTGTGCCGTTTTCAGATGTTTTAAGAAAACAAACATTTCTATTAAAAAAAAAAAAAGCAAGAGAGAAAGAAAGAAATTTGCATTAGAGGCATTAGACAAACACAAAAGCAGCTCACACTCAAAAAACAACTCAGCAAATTTTATTCTTCTGGGAAACTCTCTTCAAAGTAAATCAGACTACAGGAATCTAATAAGTTGCAAAGATTAAATGTAAATCAAGGCTCATCTCCCTCTGGAGAAAACTAATAGGCACAGACAACCTGAAAAGAGGACAGTAATGAAGTTCCACCTTCTAACTGGTAAAAACAACAACAAAAAGCATCAAAGAACAAATTCGGGGAGTTTATGCTGCCGATGATATCACATAACTGAATACCCTTCTCTTAGCTCCAGGCTGTGTGTAGAAGAGGGTGGATTATCTGAGTTAAGGACAGTGGGCCAGAGCCTTGATCAGACTAACCAGAGCTCTGGTTTCTGAAACAAAGAGAAGAGCCAAAAGCCTAAGGGATACACTGCCAGTGAGTGGCTTGTACTCCAAGCTAATACAAAACATCAAGATCATGTTTTGAATCTTCACTCAAAGGCATCAGATCCTTCTTTTTTCTCATGGCTATGCTTCACTGCTTCAATGGTAACATTTGTTTTAAAGTAAGAGAAGGTAGGCAGAGAAGTCTGCTAATCTCTTAACTAATCTGCACCTGGCAGAAAGGTACCTACTTAAACTGCAGGTTCAAGTGTTTTGAGGGAAACGAATGAAACTTTTTAAAACTCAGACGATACAATAAAAGTGAGGAAGGTACAAGTGCTCCCCATGCCCACTCGCCTTTGTGACTCTGTTTTCCATGCGTTCGTATAGAATGTAAAGAAGAAGCAGTTGGGATGATAGGTGCAGATGGTCCTACACACAAAAGCATCTGGGGTGAGAACCCTGGCAACATCCACGTCTGAGAACGCAAGATGTTGGAAGATGTCCATGCGGCAGCCTGTGAACTCAGACAGAAGACTTTCCTTAGGAAATGACACTAAATTTCCTTATATTTTGTCATCATAATTAAGGAAATTGTGACTATTTATTATTCATAGTACTAAACATCTTAAGTAAAAAAATGTCTGTTAAAGTATCTTCAAACTTGTTTGCCATTTAGAGGAACGCAAAGTTGGTCTAATTCTAAGGGGTAAATTCCTGTGTCAGAGAAATAAAAGCCATACCCCTAACTCCATTATCCACCAGTGCCAAATGTTTACGTTACTCAGTATTGACTTATGTTTCCTTCATATTACTCTGACTCTGAGGCCTTAGGAATGTAAGGTGTTTTTGTTGTATTTTCCTGAACATTATAAAAAGTTATTTAATAAGAAGAGACTAACAAAACGCCTTGTGCCCATTAAAATTAGAACGACAATCCACTTTTATTATCATTATATTCATATGATCTCATATCCTGTTTTGTTTGTGTTCACATCATTTATGCGGTTCACTAAATTTGATAACAGATAATTCTGTTGATACTCACTGGTTTACAGATTCAATGCACTCTATCAAAATCCTGCTCCCTTTTGTTGCAGAAACTGACAACCTTTATAAAATTCACATGGAAATGCAAAAGATCCAGAATAACCAAATTAATCTTTAAAAAGAACAAAATTAAAGCACTCAGATTGTCTGAGTTCAAAACTTATGACAGAGTTATGGTGATCAAGACTGTGTGTAACTGGCATTAGGGTAGACATATAGATCAATGGGTTAGATGTGATGGTCCAAAAATAAACTCACATTACAGATGATTGATTTTTGAAAAGGATTTCAAGACAATTCAGTGGATGATTGATTTTTGAAAAGGATTTCAAGACAATTCAATGGAGAAAGAACTGTCTTTTCAACAAATAGTGCTGGAATATCTGAATATCCACATGCAAGAATTAAGTTAGATTCCTACTTTAAACCACACACAAAATTTAATTCAAAATGCATCAAATGCCTAATGTAAGAGCTAAAACTATAAACCTCTAAGAACAAATTATAAACAAGAGTCTTCATAACCATGAATTAGGTTTTGGCATTTTAGGTAAAGCACGTGCAAGAATAAAGCCAGACTGGATTTCATCAAGTTTAAAAACTTCTGTGCTTCAAAGAACTCCATGAATAAAGTGAAAAGATGACCTGCAGGTACACAGAAAATTTTTGCAGATAATATACGGTCTAAGAGTGCAGTATCCGGAGTATATAAAGAGCTCATACAGCTCAACGACGAAAACAAATAACCCAATTATTTTTAATGGCTAAAGGATTTAAACAGAGATTTCCCCAAAGAATTCATTCAAATTGCCAATAAGCACATGAGAAAATACTCCACATTACTAGTCATTAGGGAAAGGCATATCAAAACCACCATGAGAAATCACTTCGCACTACCCGGAAAGGCAATAATAAAAAAGGCAATAACAAGTGTTGTTAAGTTTGTACAGAGATTGAAGCCCTCAGTGGAAGAGACAAGCTCAGACCACGGCTCTGGGCTGTCATTTCTGCTGTCCACACCCAGGAGAGCACCGTGGATGTCTAATCTCTGTACTTGCTTTCTTGTTAAACTGCAGTGAGTTCCCATATGATTTAATCTGATCAAATGTCCTTTACAGAATGATAAAAATCCTGGCTGTAGCCAGGCACAGTGGCTCACACCTGTAATGCCAGCACTTTGGGAAGCCCAGGCGGCCAGATCACAAGGTCAGGAGTTCAAAACCAGACTAACCAGCATGGGGAAACCCTATCTCTACTAAAAATTCAAAAATTAGCTGGGCACAGAGTCCTGCCTCCTGGCATCCTTCAAAAGCTCTTCCAGAAAAAAATAAAATGAATGTTAAAGTTAAATCGCCAGTTCATGGGAACCATCAACCTGGCACACACTACGGAGAAGGTGTGCTGTGGCGAAGAGAAGACAGGCAAATAGATGCCTTGTAGCCAATCTTCCCAATCTTATACAGGGACATCCTAGCCCAGCACCCAATACAGCACCAGGCACAGAGCCAGCACCCAGTCCTGCAGAGAACTAACTAGAAGGGATTTGGTTTCAGTAGCATCTTGTCATTAACATCCTGATATGCTAAATCAGGTGGAATGTCATCGCAGATTTCTGGGTAATTCCATTGAAATTACCTTTATGTGTGAAACAACAGTTTTATTCCCTCCCCATGGTAAAGTCATTTCACTAGATATGGACACAACCTAGGAATGACCTTACAGTTTCGCTACAATATCACTGTACTGGTTTCCTATAACTGCTGTCACAGGGGCATAACCACAGACTTAGTGGTTACAAACAACACAGATGTATCATCTTACCACTGTAGAGATTAGAAGTATGAAATGGGTCTTACGGGGCTAAAATCAAGGCATCGGCAGGGCTTTGTTCCTCCAGGATGCTCCATAAGGAAACTGTTCCCTTGCCCTTTTCAGATTCTAGAGGCCACCTGTGTTCCTTGGCTCATGGACCTTCGTCTTGTTAGATATAGTGAATTCCAAGTTTCTCTTCAAAGAATCTATGTCAGTATGTTCACCTCTCTTTTTCTTTAATTCTCCATTTTAAAGTTTAACTTCCTGGTTCTCTGTGCCCCCTTGCCTCTAGTTTCGGTAAACAACTTTCCCGCCAGCTCTGATCAGTCGTTCACATCTGTTCTCCCAGTCCCCTGCTCCATCCTGACTCATGCCGATCACCTGCTCTGGTCTCCTGCTTAACCCAAAACGGGGTAAGCCTTATCCCAAAAATGGGGAATACCCCAAGTAAGGTAAGGGATAAAGCTAGCAACAATAATATTCCCGCTAATAATTCCCTTGCCCTAATGTTAAAATACCAGAAGAATAATGAAAAGACCAAAAACAAGAAAAAGCAGCTGCTGTCCCAAACCCTTTTCCTATCCCTGTCGTCCCTCCTCCCTATAACTCTGCCTCTTGGGAATCGTGCCAAGAGCCCACTCGTTACCAGCCTGAGTACCCTTCCCTAAAAGGACTTCAACGTGAAATAGAGCAATGTAAAATGGATATTCAGACCTTCCCTTTCCGCTCTTCTCAGGGGAAGAAAAAGGCATGATCCATAGAGCTGCTATGGGAGCCAAGGAACAGGAACACCCACCAATTGGGGGCCCCAAGCCAGTGTGACACTGTCCTCAGAGTTTATGGGTGCCTAGGAATTTATACCCTGGCCAAATGGGTTACAGGCAGTTGTTTAGTATGTAAGAAAAGTAATAAACATGCTATAAACAATTAACCCTTGGGGGAAGTAATTCAGGCTTAAGGCCATTCCAAAATATCCAGATTGATTACACAGAGATGCCTCCTATTGGTCATGTTTATTAGTAATAAGAGATCACCTTACTCATTGGGTAGGAGCTATTTCCTTTTCAAGTACAACTGCTAATAATGCTGTTAAGGCATTAGTTGAAAATATTATACCCAAGTTTAGATTAACAGAGAACATTGATTCAGATAATAGGACTCATTTCACTGCACATGTCATTAAGAAATTAGCCCAGGTACTGGATATGACATGGAAATATCATCCTCCCTGGCACCCACCTTCATCAGGGAAAGTAGAAAGGCCTATTACCCTGTTAAGAATCCAAACTGCTCCCCAAAAAGACATAGGCCCATCCCCTTATGAGATGCTTCATGGATTGCCTTATCTGCATACTACTACTGATGTTCCTACACTTGAAATAAAAAAAAATCAGTTTCTCAGAAATTATATACTTGGTTTATCTTCCACTTTCATTTCCCTCAGAACTAGAGGTCTTTTAGCACAGGTGCCACCCCTACAGTTTCCAGCACACCAACATCAGCCTGGGGACCACGTCCTTGTCAAAAGTTGGAGAGAAAGAAAAGCTGGAACCAGCCTGGGAAGGACATTACCTAGTGCTCCTAACTACTGAAACTGCAGTCCAGGCAGCAGAAAAAGGATGGACCCATCACACCCGAGTCAAGAAAGCACCGCCCCCTCCAGAGTCATGAGCCATAGTCCCAGGGGAAAACCCTACCAAACTAAAGCTAAGGAAAATCTCTCTTTCATCCGTTCTATTAGTCCTTCTTCTTTGCTGGCCCTATTGCTGACCACCTGGTTATTAATGTAACCAAGTCAATTTCACCTCAAACTATTACATTTGATGCTTGCCTTGTTATACCCTGTGGAGACTTGCCAAGTCAGAGGCAACTCTCCACTTTAGAAAAGTATCGTTATCCTTCCTAACTTTTCTCAGACAAAAAAAAAAAAAAAAAAAAAAAAAAAAAAAAATAAAATAAGTTACTTTGAGAAGAGTTTGACAAAGATTCCAGTGTAAACTGAAAATCTTGTCTTTTTTAGAACAGAGCTTCTCTGCCAAAGTTGGTCCAACGCTCTATAAAATGTTAAGGAGCAAGGATGGACCACCCCAACCAGCACTTGCCGTTTCCTAAAGCCATATATTCATTCTGCTGAAGGAGTCACCCCTCCCCATTGCCAGCTAAACCAACATATTCCAGTACAGATCACCATCGCTGCTCACTAGAGTTCTTCCTCTTCATTGAGCCATTTCTTTGATACAGGAGCAGAAGTCTCAGGGAGTAACCCCATAGGACCCTTTGAAATGCGGTTCATTGCCTCCTCACATCCTGCACCCCCTTCTCTGTCTCCTAAGTTCTCCGCTAACCAAAGCATCTCTAGTTATCTACCCAATGATAAAACCTAAGTAGTCGTTGTAGACATTAAAGATTTAAAACAAGCTATAGCAGTCGAAACAGGGAATCAGGATACAAACGGCTGGCTGGAATGGATTCGATATTCTGTTCATATGCTGAACAAGAGTGACTGTTACGCTTGTGTGACAGGCAGGCCAGAGACCCAGACTGCCCTTTCCACTTGGGTGGCTCTCTCGCGACAGGACATGAGCTCTATGGTAGCTCTTTTTCAGAACCCCACAGCCTGAGGCGCAGGCTCATGCAAGACTCTTACTGCTGTTCCCTAAGGTTAAGAGCCCTGTGGGTCAGCCCCGAGGGCCACCTGGCCTCCAGCCTCCAATGTTAATTCACCTTGTGCCTTTCACGATGTGGGTGGGGGGGAAGTTGACATTCAAGGAATGCCAACTTAACAGGGTGTCGTGAAACCGAGCCTTTTCAAGAGCTTACCAATCTGCCCGTATTCATCCCCGAGCAGATGTATGGTGGTGCTGCAGGGGACTATTGCTGTGTACTCTGCCAGGTACTTAGAGCAGTACTTGTGCCCTAGTCCAGTTGGCCATCCCTTTCACCCTAGCGTTCCATCAACATGGTTTTAAAAAAAGAGGGAGAAAAATAGAAAAAAAAAAGAAGTGCAGAAGTGCGTCACATGGGTCCTTTAACCCCCATGTTTATATAAACACTATTGGAGTTACCAGATAAATTTAAAGCCAGAGATCAAATAGCTGCAGGGTTTGAGTCAATATTTTTGTAGGTGACAATTAATAAAAATGTAAATTAAATAAATTACATGTGATTAGCAGCTGTTTATTAATTACACCAGGGATGCTGTCAAAGAGATAGAAGAACAACTAAGCCAAGACATGTGAAGGAAGTTTGAAGAGAAAATAAAAACCGTAAACATTCAAGATGGGGGATTGTTAGATACAGTGAACTCCAAGTTTCTCTTCAAAGAATCAGTGTGTCAGTATGCTCAGCTCTCTTTTTCTCTAATTCTCCATTTTAAAGTTTAACTTCCTGGTTCTCTGTGCCCCCTTGCCTCCAGTTTTGGTAAAAAACTTTCCCACCAGTTCTGATCAGTCATTCGCATCTGTTCCCCCGGCCCCCTGCTCTGTCCTGACTCGTTCTGGTCAACTGCTCCGGTCACCTGCTTTGACCTGAATCACCCCTGGTCACCTGCTCTGCCATAACCGTTTTTCCCACCAAACCACCCACTCCCCCTAATCTGGCTCATCCCCCTGCTCTCTTTAAAATAGCCAATCAGAATTAGCTTTGACTGTGTGGTCTAACTCTAGCCAATAAGGGAATGACACAGCAGTAGGGGCTGCACCAAGAATAAGACCCTCTTCCCCTCCCCTGTTCAGATGTGTGCTTACCATTGCTCCGTTTGTGAGATGCACCCTTCTATAGAAGTAAATTGCCTTGCTGAGAAAATTAATATTTGAGTTGTACTTCTTTTGTAGCATTGAAAATTTACATATAACAATCTTCAAAGCCAGCAGTGTAACACCTTCAAACCTCTCTCTCTGGCTCTGAGCCTTCTGCCTTTCTCTTTTTCTTATAAGCCTTGTGAGTAATCCACCCTTGTGAGTACATGGGGCCCATCCAGAAATCCAGAGTAATCTCCCCATCTCACAGTCCTTAACTGAATCACATTGACAGAAGCCCTTTTGCTAACTGTAGGGACACAGCTGCAGGTTCCAAGGCTTAGAGCAGGGACATCTCTGGGAGCTTTTATTCTGCCTGTTACAACCACAAAGTGAAGTCGTCCTACAATTACCAATCTCTGAAAGCGCACAAGGCTTCAGTGAGAATCCAGATTCCACGTTATCCAGCACCTTTATACTCGTAGGTGTTCCTCCAGGACTGTGCTTCAAGAGGCAATTGTTCCTGAATGTGAAGAAAAGAGGTTACTTTGCTTCCTGCACTTTGAGGTGCAGGCAGCAGTCCAGGTAACATAGTATTCAGATGGACATTGGGAAAAGCAATGACCCTGATAATGAGTGAGTTAGGGATTTGCATTATTAATCAAATGGACATCCTTCCCCTTGAAAAGGAAAGTAGGGTGAGAATGAGGCCAGAGACCCTACGATACTAACCCTCATTCTATAAGCAAGGCCTATGTGTGGGGCAAATGGAACTTATTCACTTCAGGAAAAATCACACCAAAATTGAGTAGAGTGTGGAGTGATAGACAGTAGAGACTGGGAAGGTGACAGAGAGGTGGGAAGGGGGTTGGTGACGAAAAATTGTTTGGTGGGTCCAATGTACATTACTCCAGTGATGGACATATTAAAAACCTAGACTTGACCACTATACAGCACATCAAGGTAACAAAATTACACTTGTACCCATAAATTCATGCAAATAAAAATGAGGTTTAAAAATAAGGAAAAAAAATTCACAAGTTAATATCAAATTGTGATTAGCTCTATGAATGAAATAAACAGAGCTGGGTGTGACTTAAAAGAGAATGCTCAGAAATGGCCTTTTGGACGGGGTGATATTTGAGGAAAGACCTGATTTGTTAAGAATCAGAAGAATCAGCCTTGGAGAAGTGGGGGAAGAGGATGCCAGCAGTACAATTACATACTCAGGGAAAAGAGGAGAGAAACACATGAAATTAAAATGAAGTATTTAATGAAAAAATGAAGATAAAGAATAAAATAGAGTAAATAAGGAAAGTGGTTAGGAGTAAAAGCCCTGTTTGGTTTTCAGTTGGGGAAACAGAAAGAGGTTATGAAGAATAGAGGGAATCCTGGAGGCACCAATATAAACAACAAACACCGTGAGCTGTACTCACCGGTACTCTGCATTGTGAAATGTTTGCGTGGCATATGAAAAAAACTGGCAGCGAATGTTATTGGTGCACCGTTTTTGACATTCTTCAACACTGCTAACCTTAGACACATTAAAATTGACTCCTCTCATATCAATTCCTTTATAAATGTCTCTGTGGCAAGCTGTACAAGAAAAATGCATAGAGCAAATGCAGTCAACTTTTTTCTAGAGGTAGATTTGATACCCCCTACTATTTGAGCTGGTACTTTAGAAGGATAATAGCCTGTTTTTGGCAACTGCTGTATTAAGGGATTTAAAATTTTTATGATGCCCATAAATTACCGAACTCTGCTTGAAGTAAACACAATCTACTATTTTCCCTAAAACAATAGGATTGAAAAAGGGTCACTTCATTTCTTAAACTGCAAGATCCATGCAACAATACAGGTAAATTTCACATCGAAGTTATCAATGAGCAGTGGGAAATAAGGCAATAATAATGAGGACACTGATAATATGTGCTGAAGTTTGCGTTACTAAAGACACTGATGTGCCTTTGACCTTCTGCATTGAGTAAAGGAAATTCCTTATCTCGTAGTGTTATTTTTCTGCTTTCAACTTCTCCTGTCTGATTACAAGTTGCACCTGGGTCAATTATTTCAAAATGTGGAGAGTTGTTGTATATGCATGATGAAACCACTTCTATTCTTGTTTTAAAACTTTGTCAATGTCTATTTAAGCACCCTTTCTTTTTTGAGACAGAGTCTCACTCTGTTTCCCAGGCTGGAGTGCAGTGGCATGATCTCGGCTCACCGCAACCTCCGCCTCCCAGGCTCGTTATTCTCCTGCCTCAGCCTGCTGAGTAGCTGGAACTACACCCAGCTACTGGTGCCACCACACCCAGCTAATATTTTGTATTTTTAGTAGAGATGGGGTTTCATTACATTAGCCAGAATGGTCTCGATCTTCTGACCTCATGATCTTCCCAATGTACTGGGATTACAGGTGTGAGCCACCATACCCAGCCTTACGCACCCTTTTCATGGAGATTTGTCTTACATGCAAAAGATATAGGTAATTCTTTTCACAGACAGTGAGCCAAAATTAGGCTCTTTTTTTTAAAGATTCAATTTTCTTAGTTATACTTTTGGTTAAGGAAGTAATGTAACCAGAAGTATAAACCATATACTTTTTTAAAGTTTTATTCCTGAAGATAATGTGAAATAAGCCATAATCTATTGTAGGCAACTTTCCACTCCTAAGACGTATGGTTAAAGTCATAAAACTAAATGTAAGGGCGGGAAAGACAGAAAATATACAAACTGTCAGGAAAACAATATGCTAAGTTGGGCAGGAAGGTGGATATTCACAGTGGTTCTTAAACACAAATTTGTAGATTGTAGAAATAAAACCACTTTCCAATTTTTCTTCATGTAAGAAAAGAGTAGGCTAAGAGTTGCGATGGGACTCTTACAAATAAAAACTTTTTAAGTGTTCATATGAAAGCTCTAAATGCTTTTGACTAGAATTGTTCCAAGTATAGAGATTCTATGCACTCAGGAACAATTTTTCACTTTAAGATGTTTGCAAGTTAGGGAAAAAAAAAGCATTGGAAGCAAGCTAAATGAGTAACACTAAGTTTTAGAATACATTAACAAATAACAGGAATATTGAGAAAGGCACAAGACGACTTTCTCTTTAAATTTTGCTATAGCATACAACAATCAGAAATAACACTTACTTGAATACAACAATCGGAAATAACAACACTTACTTGAATAATTTATACCAAATTTATTAACATACAAATTTGATCTTATAAAATAGGAAATGTACGCCACCTCAGGTACACTACACCTTTCTTTTTCTTTTTCTTTTTGGTAGAGTTTCACTCCTGTTGCCCGGACTGGAGAGTAATGGCATGATCTCGGCTCACCACAACCTCCGCCTCCCAGGTTCAAGTGATTCTCTTACCTCAGCCTCCCCAGTAGCTGGGATTACAGGCATGCACCACCATGCTAACTTTGTATTTTTAGTAGAGATAGGGTTTCACTTTGCTGGTCAGGCTGGTCTTCAACTCCCAATCTCAAGGGATTCACCCGCCTTGGCCTCCCAAAGTGCTAGGATTACAGGCGTGAGCCACCACGCCCGGCCAACTACACCTGGCTAAGTCAGGCCCATATTTGTAACTAAGACATTCCCATCCTTTGACAACTGATTAAAATGCAAACAGCAGGCTCAAAGTGTGTGCGTACTGAAGGGGTGATATCAGTGAGGAGGAAAGAATGACAAATTTTAAAAATCTGAAATTTGAACCTACAAAATTAACTGTGCATAAGAAAAATAAAAACAAAATAGTAATGATGTATAGTCATACATAGAACAGCACGTTATTTTAAGATTCTGCCAGCCCATCAGTTGAATCTCTTCAGCACTTTTCACTTTCTGATCAGTCCCAGTCATGTTTGAGAAATAGTTCATTTGTCTTAAATTTATTAGGATAGCCTTGGAAACTGTTTCCCAAGACATCAGTAGCTTCAGATGTCAGAATCAAAGTTCTCTACCATCGTAGTCCTCACGTTTCCTTTAAGTATCATTCTTAGCACGATTTGCAGAACTCAGTTCCTCAGTTTGGGCTTAATGGTATATCATTAAGAGTTTCTTGATGTCAGCACTGGGGTTGACATTTTGGGCCAGAAAATCATTTGTTGTAGAGGACTGCCATGTGCCTTGTAGAATGCTGGGCAGCATTCAAACATTCCGGCCTCTACTTAGTAAATGAGAGAGGCATTCCGGCCTCTACTTAGTAAATGCTAATTGCAACCTCCCTAGCTGTGACAACCAAAAGTGTCTCCAGACATTTTCAAACGTTCCCTAAGGGAAGAGACAAAATCACTGCTGGCTGAGAATCACTGATGTACAAATTACCCTCAAGTGAACCTGTGAGAGAGATGTTCCCTAATGTTTTCTTAAAAATTCTTATCTGGAAACACGGAGACACGATTATTTGGATTTATTTTCTGCAAATCTTAAACTTTAGTGATAACCTCATACAAAATAGAGGCTCATTAAGTATGTGTTGATTGATAAAGACAATAGAGGTATCCAGATGAATATGGGTCCCTCTTTTGTGACCAGAATACTGCCCCATCTCCTATCTTTATGAGTGATTTTTTCCAAAAGGCTGTAGCAGTACAGACTTGGAGCAAAAGTCGTTATAAGGTAGATCCAATATTAACTCAAATGTAGCTGAGAAATTCGCATCTTACCACTTATTTGATGACCACAGTGCTTTAAGGAATGTCCAGAAATTGCACTTGTTTGATGTACTTTTGGCAGGGTTCCTGTAACACTGTCTTTCAAGAAGCAACCAAACCTGTTTTAAAAGTAGCTTTACTTAGGAAGTAGAATAATAAGCATACATTGAGGAAATGTCTAGCATTTTCTATACACTAACAAATAAAACCAAGAATAAGGAAAGTAATATAGCTTCCCCAATACCTGCTGGAAGGAATACTCTTAGAGGTAATTTTATAACATCCCCTTAATATCTAACTTCAGCATGGCATTCTCTTTACACTCACATTTTTTAAGTACAGAAAGACAACCACCTTAAAGAGTTAACGATTTTTCCTGTGTTCTTAACTTTCAGGCAACTGTGTCCCCAATTGGTGATTATTTTTGCAAATACTTTCATTTACTTAAAAAATTACATTAGTGATAAGAGCTGTATATAGTGTTCGCCTTGCTTATTAAATCCTTGTAGTCTGCACATAATGGGATACTTCCTTCTGTCTTAATTGTCAACTTCCATGTTAATTTCATTATTTATAAGAATTCCAGAACCTACCTCAATTTTAATACGATGATCCTCACATTCAATCTGGGTTTTCTCTACAAATTTAACATGTAGGATCAGAGAATGACTATCCGATTTCTAGCTCGTAAACTCACATAGAGTGAAGATGAGAAAAGGGTTATGGATATGGACGTGGGAATAACAAAGAAAAGCTTATTCTGGATATTAATCAAAATGAAAAAACATTAAGATGAAACTGTGGCTCGTGATTAACAAGCATCTCCCTGACCTAATAAGAACTGTAATTACTATTTCTCCAAAACGTTTACAAATCCCCAGTTAATACATAGTCACACAAGTATAAGCACACGTGCACACATACATGCCATATATGGTGTCATGCCATAGATGCCCAAACTGGCCCACTATAGGCACCACTCAGATCTGCCCTGTCCCAAAACCACAAGTTCTAGATCTTTCTCAACTATATTCTCAGCAAAACGCTTGTTTTATTTTCTTTGGACTGTGCTATCCACTAATGTGATCGTGGGTCACACAGTTCAGTATATTTCTTTATTCAGATGAAATGTTCACCTGTTACATTCTTTCTTGAGACAATCTCTTAGCCCAATGATGTTCAAGCATTTTGAGGCATTGAATAGAAAATGACCAGCATCATTTACTTTAAATAAATGTGATCATTGTTTAAAATGCAGATTTCTAGTCCCAAGAAACTTTGATTCAGCAAGTCTGAGCTGTGGCCTGGGCATCTGCATTTGTAAGAACTACGTGAAGGATTTTGCTGAAGCTGGTCTTTGAACCACATTTGGGAAAGAACTCTCAGTTATACTATACCTTTTGGCAGGCAACTAATTCCATTTTGAAAAATGGCTTCTCTAATAATGAAATATCATAAAAATATTTTACCTTTTATGCATGTCATTGACTGAACTTGCTGGAAGAAAACTGAATAGCAAACACCTTGGGTGGAACGTACACATCATCTGGCAGTGTTGGGCATTTGGGGTGTACATAGAGGCTACATCCCCACCTCTGAAGAAGGTGTTTTCATATAGTTGAGTCAGACACCCTGTGATAGAACCATAAGAATTAATTTGGGATCAATTCAAATAACACTTTTAATAAAAAGATATCTGCTTTCTTCTCTCACTGACTACTCAAAGGTCTGTATAATATAACTCTAATTATGCTGAGAAAATAAAATACATTAAACCAACTATTTGAACAATCTATATTGTTATTTAATTTTCTGGGTACTTCTGTATAAAAAAATGTGGCTTATTTTTATTAAATTGCACAATAATTTACATATAAACTACCCACAGTAAAATAAAATCCTAACTTAGTTTTTCCCTGTTGCCTGACATGCTATGAAAATATCATGCCTTTAAAAGAATAATATTTGGTCTATTTTCAAAATACTTTTGTAAGAAACATCTTCACCAACTTCTCACAATTCTGTAAAGGAAGACAGAGGCAGCTTTCGTTATCTGTTTCTGACTTATGCTATTTAAAAGAAAGAAGTTAAATAACTGAGCTTCAGGGCACACGGACTTGCCCAAGATCCACAAAGTACGCGAAGGTGGTTGGACAGCCACCCAGCCCTGACTCCCAGCCCGGTGTCCTTTTCTAGCATGCAATGCTAAATGCTGTTCCTCATCTCAGTGTGATTCAAGCAAACTGACAATTACTGAGCGTTTATTTTTTACTCATTTTTAAGACACTTTAAGCAAATGCATGCACATGCTAAATTGAAAATACATTTTGAACTACTTAATGTTTGGAATTATTCCCAAAATATAATGCACCCCACATATTATTAGAGAATTAGGTGTCTTTACTGGCTTTAATTTGTACGTTTGGATTTACCTGGAAAGACCCTCTTGGAAGTCTGCTTAACAAGCTTTCCTGTTCAGGTAGCACATTCATTTCAGTCAGTCAACTGGCCATTAACCATGGCTATGCCAACGGCAACCTTGTCCATTCCCTGGGGCGGTAGTTGCTTTTCAATTTAAATAGTAGGTATTTTGTATTGCCTTTGGGGGAATGAGCAGCTTAGGCAACATCCATTTTACTAGGCACTGAAGAGGGCCATTTTCTCTGCACTATCCTTTGCCCCTGGGGATTCTGGCCCTGAGCCCCATTATGACTACCCAACACAGCAAGATTTCTTCTCCCACTCTCAGAGGTGTGGCCAAGATGACTGCCTCTTGGGTAAGGTTTGTATTTGGAAAGAACACAGATCTCTTCAAGTGGAAGCTTTTGGAATGCAAGTGTATTGCCTAGATTTCATGAATGCACAAAACGTGGAGGAGTTGGTTTAGTTACAACACTAGGTATAAAGCTATTTTTTCAGACAGTTGGTGGTTCAGACTGACTCATAATTATCAAGCAGTCACTCCTCTTCCGGCCCCCAGTTCACATGCAAGGATACACACAAAGGCTGGTGTTGGCCCAGAGCTTCCCATTCTGCAAGTGATTCCCTGTGAACAGCCATGTGACTCAGTCAGGGAAAGGGGTGACTAGAAAGACACCAAGTTTGTTGTTGAATGGAAAGAAACTTCTACTAGGTGTTCTTGTTCCTGCTTATCCTCAGAAGTTGGTGATCTTGATGAAAATGATGACCATGACAATGAGAGCCATGCCTGTACCATATTTTGGAGCGTTTGTAAAGTACTGTTATATAATTTCGCTCACAATGATGGTGACTTTCAAAGCTTTTACATGGGCCCCATGTCCATAGACTTTGGGCTGTTATTCAGTCTTGCTTAACAATTACATAAACAATAAGGAGCAGTAAAGTACTCTAATTTTAAAGAATTACGTGAAAAACATAAAAAGATAACTTACAAAAGAAATAGAAGTGATTAGGAAGCATGTAAAAAATGGGAACAATCACAAATATAGGCAAGTTAAAACAACTAGAAGCCATTTCATCCATGAGATTAGCAAAAATGAAAAATTAAATAACTAGTATTCGTATACTGATTTTGATTGCAAATGATGGAAAACCTAGTTCAAAGTGGCTTGAATACAAATGAAATCTGTTAGTTCAGAATCCAAAAAGCCCATGGTGAATCAGGCTGAAAGGGTAACTGGCCACTGAGCTCAACCGATAGCATCAGACAGTATGTCTCCTTCCGTTTGCTCCAGTCTGTGGTGTTACCATTACTCCCAAGCTCACATAGTAGCAAAATAGTACCAGCAGCTCAGGCCTCTGTATTCTCTTATGTTTCAAGTCAAAATGGAAAATAAAAAAGAGTAAGAGTTCTATTTTGAGACATCTAAACAGAAGATTTGTTGCAAGACGTTGGCTCTGATTGGGTAACTGTGGCCTGCAGGATGCGTGCATTTCCTGGTTCAGGCCTGGGTGGGTCACGACCTCCAGCTCCGGTGTCAGTAGCAGATTCAGGGTCATCAGAACCATATGGACCAAAACTGAGAGGCAGTAGCTCTGCAGAAGTAGATTAGGATACTCTTTCCAGAAAGATAAATATGTCAGGATGCAAAGCAGCAAGCCTGTGAGAGTCGGCCTAAGCGGGCCACGAAAGAGAATTTCATGAAATTATCTTTCAGAAAAGTTACTCCCTAATTGACGTTTTCTACCAGCTAATAAGGGTGCTCATTTAGCTGGTAGAAAAAGTCAATTAGGGAGTAACCTTTCTGAAAGATAATTTCATGATGCTACACCATAAAACCTTCAAAAATATTCATAACTTTGAATCCAGTACTTTTATTTCAAAAAATATATTCTACAGAAATAACTGAGTAAGTACATAAGAACATGCACACAAAAATACCATAAAAAGAGAATACCAAGCTCTAAAAATATTATATAATTTATTGGTATCAAAATATAGCTGTAACTGGGAAATGCAAGTCAAAAAGTATCCATAGTTAATTACTCTTTCTTGTAAAATGTGCAAATAGGTAAAGGTAGAAAAATATCTGAAAGACTAAACAAAAGATGTTTACAATGACTGTTTCTGAATTTTGGGACTACATGCAATATGTAGTTTCTAATTTTTTGCTTATTTATACCCCTAATTTTCCTAGCTGTAATCATGATTTATTTTGACGGAAAAAAGCACCTGGATTTGGCCGTGGTCCACAGTATCTCTGGCTATGCTCCTTCTCAGCTTTCAGTGAGTTTGCACATGGGTTTGTAAGTTATGGTTTAGAAGCGCAATCAGGATTGAGGGACAGAAGCAGGGGAGGTATGATTTAGGGAAAAAAAGCTTTGTTCTTGGAAAAAGCCTCTTTATGAATGTAAACCTTACCCATAGATGTTTATTGTAGCCATACATCTGAGAGGAAAGTTAAATACTCATTGTTTTGTGGCCCTCTTAAGTCACCATAGACTCAGAATCGTGCCTTGGGGGGACACAGAGAAAATACCCTCTATACTGATTAATGAAAAACGGTGTCCAGAATCATTTTTATTCTCCAAAAATTCATGAAATGAATAAAGAAATAAGATTGAAATCTGGTGTCCAAAGCTATTCACCTAGAACTACCCAAATGGATGGTTTATTAAGTTAAATTTAAACCAGATACTTTCATTTTTGAAATGGCTCCCCAGTGATCCAGAATAAAACCACACATCATGTACCTAACAGAAACTTGGATTGGACCCAGACACTATAAAATGCCTAGCACTCTTGAATTTTCAGATAAAGTTGAATTTTTAATGTTGATAATAATAATAGAGGACTAATTATTTTGTTAAGCAGACGAACTTTTTTGTTAAGGAGAAGTTTTTGCCAACACATGTCCCAAGACATTCCCACTTCCAGGCTGCTTCCCCTGGTCTGAAATGTATGTGTGGAGTAATATATCTGACAAGGGGCACTTGCTACGGAACATTAAGTGGACACATGTCCTGAATCATCAGGGACTAACTTTTCCTCTGAAGCTGTATGTTCAGTAGCTTTCTCCAGGGGTGGAATGATTTGCTTAACTGCTCCTGTCTTAGCCTGAATTTCATGTTTTATAGATAATTCACTTACCACAGGAAACTGTAGCAAACAAGGAAATGAGGTAAGTTGATTGCTTGCATAAAAACATTCTAAAAAAGAAAACAATACATAACTCTGTTGATTTCAGGCTACATTTAATATAAATCTTAATTTAAAGTGATATAGATTTTCTTGTAAATGTCTGAATTGCAAGACAAAGCACACAATTACCAGTATAGAAAACAAGGGTATTTTTTTGTACATTTGTGTCTAGGGAGTTGGAAAATTTATAATGCTTCCCAAGATACAAATTGAAACCTCCAGACTAGTTGTGTTTATTGCTGTTTTGCCACCTCTGTGGCTAGTAATGTTGGAAAGCCAATTGGTAGAGAAAGAGTAAACAGTTTTGAAACCTCTTGATCTGGGCAAAAAGAAAATTAATAAATAATGACAATAATGTCAGTTCAAAAATCCCTACGTAAAGGAAACCTCTGAAAATATTAAAGCCCATTAAAAATTTTAAATCAGTCAAATATTCTCTTAGATTTAAAATCATCTTACATTTAAATACTTCTACATAAAAGAGTATTAGCTCCCTCTATACTCTCTAAATACTCAGGAAATTAGAATATAAATGAATACTTTTCTCATTAAGTAAAAAACTATACTTTAAAATTTGTAGTTTATTTGGAAACAATCAGAATAATAGAAATTTGCTACCTGAAAACACAATTGCTTCTGTGGAGGTGAGGGTCTCTTGTCACTTAAAAATGAACAGTCTTCAAGCTGTTCTAATGTGGCACTGCGGGCACTATTTTGCTTGGCTTCAATATTGACTTTGGGTTTCTGCCAACAGTTTCAACTTTTTGTCCTGTCAACATATTCGATGAACATCCTATCTGTGTTCAGCTGTTAAGTATATTAACTATTTCAGGGAGTGATGTCAGCAAGAATAGGAATAGGAGGTTGTCAGAACAGGATTTTCTAGTGCTCATTACTTGCAGAAACATCAATTTGAATAAGCATCCACACACAAAAACTACTTCACTAGAGCTAACAAATCAAGTGAGAGGTCAGCATCTGGTTGCAGCACAGAAATAAAAAAAGACACATTGAAGAGTATAAGAAGGACAATTTCACATTATCAGTGTCACCCCACCTTCAAGCCTGGGCAGCACAGTATGGTGAGCGATACCCTTTTGCATGGAGGAAGGACAGTTAAGATAGCACCCAACTTCACCGCAGATCCCAAGCACCAGGCCCACTCCAGTAAACCCCAACACCAGAATTCAAGCCTGCCATAGGCCAGACCAGCCTCTGTGGCCTCAGCCCCATGTTCAGCCCTGACCAGGTCAGTTCCTGGAGCTTGAGGCTCCACGATGGCCACAGAAGATCTAGACTTCAGGCCTGCTCCAACTCTAGCCTGGCCCCCAAGACTCTAACTTCCACATCAACCCCAGCAGCCCAAGGATTCAAGTTGGTACCCATGGGCTTAGAATCCAGGCCAGTCCCTGCAAATCGAGCACGAGTTCAGTCTCCAGAGATCTCAGCTCCATGCTGGGCCATGTGGACTCAGATGCTGGGCTCAGCCCAGGGGACTGTGGTGCCAGGACAGCCTAAATAAACTCAGAAACAAGGCTATCCTCATGAACTCAGGTGCCAGGTGATCCCCATGTTAGGCTGGCCTCTGCAGACTCAGGCTTAATGCTCATTTCAGTGCCAAGTCAGCCCCCAAGGACCCATGCTTCAAGCCAGTTCTTGCGCACAGAATACAGACCACCACACTGAACCCAGAATCCAGCCCTGCCCAGCTTAGAACTCCAGCAGAAATCCTGTGCACAGACTCCAACAGGCAGCCACCCACAATCTCTGGTCAATATGACTAGTGAATGGCTTTCTCTGCTTAAGCTAGTATGTAAAGACTGAAATAGGTGCCTACTTCAATGCAAGGCCACACTGATCACAAATAATCAGGGAAACAAGAAACCATCAAAGGAAGAAAATAAAGCAGCAGGAGGTAACCCTAAAGAAATGGAGATCTACACTGCATGACAAAGAGTTAAAAATAGTTGTCTTGAGAAAGCTCAGTGAACTACAAAACAATATAGATAGGCAGGAAACAAAATCAGGAAAACAATACATGAGCAAAACTAGAAGTTCAACAAAAAAATTGGAACCATAAAAAAGAACCAAACAGAAATTCTGGAGCTGAAGAACACAATGACAGAACTGAAAAATTCTACAAACAGCTTCAGCAGCAGACTTGACTAATCAGGGGAAAGAATCAGCAAGCTCAGATACAAGTCATTTGAAATTACCCAGTCAGAGTAATAAAAGGAATGAAAAAGATTGCAGAAAGCTGACAAAACTTACAGGACACCGTCAGGAAAACCAGTATGCAATATAAGAGGCCCAGAAGAAGCAGAGAAAAAGAAAGTTGCAGAAAACTTATTTAAAAAGTAAGAACATAAACCTCCCCAAATTTGGAGACATAAAAGAAATAAACATCCAGATTTATGAAGCCCAAAATAACTCCAAATAGATTAAATATAAAGAAATCCTCACTATGACAAGAAGAGAATTTTCAAAGCAGCAAGAGAAAAACAATTCTTCACATACAAGGGAAGCTTCATAAGTTTATCAGTGGATTTCTCAGCAGAAATCATGCAGGCCAGGAGAAAGTGGGATGATATATTAAAAGTATTGAAAGTACAAAACCTAGCAACAAAGAATATAATACCAGGCAGAACTGTCCTTCAGAAAGGAAGAGGAGAAAAAGAATTTCCCAGATTATTAGTACATTTTCACACTGCTGTAAAGATACTACCTGAGACTGGGTAATTTATAAACAAAAGAGATTTAGCTGACTCACAGTTACCCATGGCTGGGGAGGCCTCAGGAAACTTACAATCATGATGGAAGGCAATGGGGAAGCAGACGCCTTCTTCACAAGGTGGTAGGAGAGAGACAGTTTGTGTGTATGTCCAGGGGAAACTACCACTTTCAAATCTCTCACTATCATGAGATCACAGCACATGATCTGTGTTAGGTTATGTGTTGTGATAGGTTAGGCTCTGTACTCCCACGCAAATCTTGTCTTGAATTGTAATCCCCACATGTTGAAGGAGGGGCCTGGTGGGAGGTGACTGGATCATGGGAGTGGTTTCCCAATCACCTCCCACCAATCACCTCCTTCAATCCAATCACCTCCCACCAGGCCCCTCCTTCAACATGTGGGAATTACAATTCAAGACAAGATTTGGGTGGGAGTACAGAGCCTAACCTATCATTCTGACTGCCCCTGGCCTCTCCCAAAACTCATGTACTTTTCACATTTCAAAAACCAATATGCCTTTCCAACAGTCCTTCAAAGTCTTAACTCATTTCACATTAACCCAAAAGTCCAAGTCCAAAGTCTCAATTGAGACAAGGCAAGGCCCTTCCCTCTATGAGCCTTTAAAAAAAAAAAAAAAAGTTACTTCCAAAATACAATGGGGGTACAGAAATTGGGTAAAAGTTCCCATTCCAATTGGGAGAAATTGGACAAAATAAAGGGATCACAGGCCTCATTAAAGTGCAAAACCTAGCAGGGAAGTCATTAAATTTTAAAGCTCCAAAATAATCTCCTTTGAGTCCCTGTCTCACATCCAGGGCATGCCAATGCAAGGGGTGAGCTGTCAAGGCCTTGGGCAGCTTTGTCCTTGTGGCTCTGCAGAGTACAGCCCTTACGGCTGCTTTCATGGACTGGTACTGAGTGCCTGCACCTTTTCCAGGCATACGGTGAAAGTGGTCAGTGAATCTGCCACTCTGGGGTCTGGCAGATGGGGGCAGTTTTTCACAGTTCCACTGGGTAGTACCCCAGTGGGGACTCTGTGTGTGGGCTCTAACCCCACATTTCCCAGGGACACAGCCCCAGTAGCAGACTTCTGCCTGGACAACCAGGTGTTTCTATATATCCTGTGAAATCAACATGGAGGGTCTCAAAGCTCAACTCTTGTTTACTGTGTACTTGCAGGCCCAAGAGCATGTGGAAGCCACCAATGCTTGGTACTTGCACCCTTGAAGCAACAGCCAGAGCTATGGCCCCTGTTAGCCACAGCTGGAGCTGAAGTGGCTGGAGAACAGGGCACCTAGTCCCAAGGCTGCACAGAGCAGTGGGACCCTGGGCTCAACCTATGAAACCATTTTTTCTCCTAGGCCTCTGGGCTTGTAATGGGAAGGGCTGCCTTGAAGATCTCTTAAATGCCCTGGAGACATTTTACCCCATTGTTTGGTAATTAACATTCGGCTCCTGGGTTTTTCTTTTCTACCACATGATCAGGCTACAAATTTTCCAAACTTTTATGCACTGCTTCCCTTTTAAATATAAGTTCCAATTTCATATCATCTCTTTGTGAATGCATATGACTGACTGTATGCTTTCAGAAAAAGACAGGTTATAGCTTGAATGCTTTTCTGCTTAGAAATTTCTTCTGCCAGATACCCTAAATCATCTCTCTCAAGTTCAAAGTTCTATAGCTCTTTAGGGCAGGGAAAAAATGCTGCCAGTCTCTGCTAAAGCATAGCAAGAATGACCTTTGCTCCAGTTCCCAATTGTTTCTCATCTTCATTTGAGACCACCTCAGCCTGGACTTCATTGTCAATATGACTATCAGCATTTTGGTCAAAACCATTCAACAAGTCTCTAGGAAGTTTCAAACTTTCCCACATTTTCTTATCTTCTTCTGAGCCCTCCAAACCATTCCAACCTCTGTCTGTTACCCAGTTCCAAGGTTTCTTTCACATTTTCAGGTTATCTTTATAGCAGTACCTCACTCTGCCAGTACCAATTATCTGTATTGTTCATTGTTACACTGCTAAAAGATATTACGTGAGACTGGGTAATTTATAAACAAAAGAGGTCTAATTGACTCACAGTTCCCCACGGCTGGGGAGACCTCAGAAAACGTACAATTATGGTGGAAGGCGAAAGGAAAGCAGTTACCTTCCTCACAAAGCAGTAGAAGAGAGAGAGAGACCATGTGCACAGGGTTAACTGCCACTTTTAAACCATCAGATCTCATGAGAACATCCTCACTATCATAAGAACATAATGGGGAAAACATCCCCGTGATCCAATCATCTACCCTTCTTTGGCACATGGGGATTGCAATTCAAGATGAGATTTGGGTGGGGGCACAGAGCCAAATTATATCACCAGACAAATAAAAGCTGTGGGACTTCATCACCATTAAATCTGCCTTACCAAAAAATGCTAAAGGGAACACTCAAGTTTAAACAAAAGGGCACGAACTAACATAAAAACTTATGAAAGAATAAAACTCCATTAAAGGTACTCTTGTACAGTCAAATTCAGAATACTCTAATACTGTAATTGTGAAACAGTCACTATTAACTCTAGTATAAAAGTTAAAAAACAAAAGTATTAAAAAATACTATAACCACAACAATTTGCTAATGAATACACAACATACAAAAGATGCAAACTATGGCACAAATAATAAAACGTGGAGGGAGGAAAAGTTAAAATATAGTATTTTTTAATGTAGTTGAAGTTATCGGCTTAAAATAGATGGCTATAGCTTTGAAATATTTTATGTAAACCTCTTGATAACCACAAAGAAGAAGTTTGTAGTAGATACACTAAACATAAAGAGAAAGGAATCAAAGCAAATTGCTCCAAAAAAGTCATTAAATCACAAAGGAAGACAGTGAGACAAAAAGAAGCAACAAACGAGCTACAAAACAATCAGAAAACAATTAACAACATGATAGTAGTAAACCTTTACCTACCAAGAATTACTTTAGATGTAAATGTATTAAATAATCCAATCAAAAGACAGTGGATAAGTGAATTAAAAACAAGATCTAACTATATGCTGTCTGTTAGGAGACTAGCTTTAGC